GTGCAAGCTAGCGGAGCTGCCACACAACAGAAATAGTTGTGTCCTGTTTAGATAGGCTTTGTTTTGCTACATGGCTGCGTATGCAGTGAAGTGATATCAGGTCCTGAGGGCCCACTCCTTTGATGAGTTAAACACACAAAGGCCTACATTTTGATGTGATCTGATAGCATGTAGTTAAGTCCTAGACAAACTGCAACTGTGAGGAAGTGATAAACCCAACTTCCTGCACAAAGCTGCCTGAGATAACACTTTCCATGGACTGGAAAAAAAAAAGAGAGAGTCATGATTGCTACAGAATTTAAAAGGAACTATTCCATTCTTAATAAATAACCTCTTTTTCATGTGGTCCCAGAAACAGCTAAGAAAAACTGATTGCAGTCCAGTGTGACTCTGTCGTAATTCCACATCTGACTTAATTCCACATGCTGACTTTTATTTATAGGCAAAAATCGGTTACTAGTGATTCACTTTATTTTCTCTCTTGAGGATACTACAGGTCAAACTCTAAATCTCGGGTATCTTGTTGGCCAGAAGAACGCCCCTGAAATTCAACAAGAACTCAGATTGAGAAAATCAAAGATTGCATTAGCTGGTGTTCCCACTGAGCCACTAAAGGGGCCCATTCAGTTTGAGTAAACACTCATTGGAATAGTTGCCAACTTACCCAAGGCCAATGGCTGTTTCTACAGAACCAATAGAGGGTCAAAGTGACAATCTCACTAGGTGTTTGTGTAGGTTGTGTCATATATAAACAACCAACAAGAACAGACTGCACTGGGAATTTACATGTCTTCATTCATTCACTATTTAGTTAACATTTATTAAGTGCTTACAATGTGCTAGGAAGTACAGTGGGGAACAAAAAAAGAGATAGCCCCTGATCTTAAGGACTTGCCTGTCTAGGTAAGGAGGCAAATATTACAGTAAACATACAGATCAGAGAGTAGAATGTGAGTTACCAAAGTCTGGGAAGTGTAGCAGGGAGGAGGGGATAAATTTAGGGATGGTTAATGGGTGCAAAAATACACTTATATAGAATCAACAATATTTAATAGCACAACAAAGTGACTATATTCAACACTAAATTAGGTCATACTTTAAAATAGTTAAAAGAGTGGAACTAGAATGTTCCTAACACAAAGAAATGATAAATGCCTGAGGTGATGGATTGCCCTGATTTGATTAATTCACATCATATGTCTGTGTTAGAACGTCTCACGTACACCATAAATCTGTACAGCTATTGTGTACCCATAATAACTTTTTAAAATTTAAAAATCCCACAGATAGATGTACAATCACAAATTATTAATACTCTGAACAGAAAAAAGACAGAGTGGCCCTATTTCAGTTTAGATTAGGTTGTCACCAAAGACCTAACGGATTTGGTGGTGCCTGCAGTTCAGTGGGGAGAGTGCCGGCCACATAAACTAAAGCTGGTGGGTTCGAACCCAGCCCCAGCCAACTAAAACAATGACAACTGCTACAACAACAATAAAAGAATAACTGGGCCTTGTGGCAGGGGGCTGTAGTCCCAGCTACTTGGGAGGCTGAGGCAAGAGAATTACGTAAGCCCAAGAATTGGAGGTTGCTGTGAGCTGTAACGCCACCGTACTCTATGGAGGGCAACTTAGTGAGACTCTTTCTCTCTCAAAAAAAAAAAAATAATAATAATAACAAATAAATAAATAAATAAATGTTAATGCTCACTTAGCTTTCAAAACATAGTTCTGTGGAGTATGCCTAGGAGCCCTTTGTAAACTTTAAATCTGGAAGGGGGAATGACTTGTGTGTCAGCAACTTTTATTTAAGAAATCAAATGAAATAGCAAGAGAAAAATTGTTAGAGAAGAGTGATTTTTTTTTACATAGTAGAACCTCTGTAGGTTGACCACCCAAGGGACTGTAACAAAATGGTCAACATACAGAAGTGTCAACATAAGGAACTTCCATTTAATACATGTGGTGCATGTTCAGTCTATGAAAACTACATCAACTAAGGAGGTGGTCAGTGTAGGGAGGAGGTCAACTATGGATATTTCCAGGACTTGGTGAATTGTTGAAATTTATGAGAAGCACTTAGCCCAAAGCCTAGCACTTAGCAAGTGCTCGGTAAACTTTGGCTATTATTCTTACTACAAAGGACTATTGGTCCAGGCATCAGAAAGTCCAGAATTTTGGACCTCTGAATAGCCATGACACCTTCAGCAAGTCTCTCCTCATCCCTGCATCTGTTCTCTAATTTGTAATATGAATAGATTGGTATGTAAGGGCTTTTCCCACTGGTGTTCTCCAATTCCATTTCTAGTGTGTCAGTGCCTCCATGTTTGAGTTAATCATTGAGATCATTTTAAGGAAAAGAGTTTCTTTTTCAATATCATATTGCAAATCACTTACATAACTTCGCAGAACACTTCTCCTTCCTTTCCTAAACTGGTGGGCTTTGGATCATTAAAATTGAAGAGAAGTAAATGGGCTTTAGGCAACTATTAGACCAATTTTGAGGGCAAATTTTGAGCAACTAGGGGTGGAGGGAACACGTGGTATTACATACCTCTTGGGAGCGGAACACAGTTCTAAGGGAGACTTTACCCAACAAATGAAAGCAGTGTATCTTGGTTCTTTGGACCCTCAGCGATTACCCAACAATTAAAAAAAATTTTTTTTTGGAGCCACTAATTAAAATGTAAATCCTCTTAAGAAATGTCAGCTTACGGAGTCTGATTCAAATACTGCGTCGTGATATTTGAAGGACTGTCAGAGTTCCCCAAGCTATGCTGGCTCTTACCCTAAATCACAACGTCTGCTGAAGACATGATATTTCCTATAACCGGGTTTCAAACATCCTTGGGAGATCTTGTCATTTCCCTGAGGGCTTTTTTTCAAGTAAAATTGTTTTAGCCTTCCCAAACCGTGTCAACACATCTGTTCTTACCTATCTTAAAAGCTTCATCAACCCAACAGTTCTCCAAAAGGAAGAGAGAAAAAAAAAAAAAGCTATTGTGCAATGAAAACATTTTGGCAAATCTTATGAAAACACATTCTTAAAACATCTCTCATTTCTGAGAAACAAAGTAAAATGTATGAATTGTTTTTTGTTTCATGCCTAGCAAAAATGATTCATTGCGACAATGTGGTATTTTGACCGTATCTACATAAAACAAACAAGAATGAACGTTCAATTGAAAAAATAAAAATAACTCCATTAGAAAAACAAACCATGACTGAGTACCTCCTCTCTCTAAGAGGCACTGAACTTTGCCTCAAAAAACTAGGCAAGTTGTCATGTGCCATTTTAACCTTTTTAGGTATTAACTGTGGCTTATATAAGACTACTTATCTATGCTGCCCATACAGTGGCCATCAGGCCAGGTGACTACTAAGCCCTTGAAATGTCAATAGTTAAAATGAGATGTGCTGGGAGCAGAAAAATGCACTCTGGATTTAGAAGACTTAGGACACACAAAAAAGGAAAATGTCTCATTATTAATATTATATATGTCAAAATGATACTATTTTGCATATATTGGCTTAAAATTTATTATTAAATTAACCTGTATCTTTTCTTTTTTTTGGCTGGGGCCAGGCTTGAACCCACCAGCCCCGGCATATGGGGCCAGTGTCCCACTCCTTGAGCCACGGCCACCGCCCTGTCTTTTTGTTTCTTAAATGTGGCTATTGAAAAATCGACAATTGCATACGTGACTTGCATCTGTGGTTCACATCACTGTGTATTTTCAGGAGCCAGTGCTGGAGCAGACTCTTGGTTTATTGGATGTTTATTCTATAGTGCAGGATCCACCTAAGAATGCTTAGTCACAAACATCTCACTCTTATTTCAAAAAAGATTCTATCTAGTGTGCTTTTATAGGTTTGTAAGTAGAAACCAGACTCCTAAAAGAATATCTGGAGTGATGCTTATTTATTTCAATAAAAAAAGTTATGCCAAATCTAGTAGGGATAAAGTAGGTTAAGTAACAGTATTTAGTGTGGTTAAATAATAGGTGTGGGGTGGTAATCCTAGCACTTTGGGAGGCCCAGGCAGGAGGATTGCTTAAGATCAAGAGTTCCAGACCAAAAACAAAAGGCCAGCCTGAGCAAGAGCAAACCCCCCTCCTCAGCCTCATCTATATAAAAAATAGAAAAATTAGCTGGGTGTGGTGGCAGGTGCCTGTAATCCCAGCCACACGGGAGGCTGAGGCAGGAGGATTGCTTGAACCCAGGATGTCAAGGGTGTTGTGAGCTATGATGGCACCACTGTACCCTAGCTAGAGCATGCGACAAAATGAGACCAGCTCTAAATAAAACAAAACAAACAACAACAACAACAACAACAAAAACAGTATGTAATAAAAAAAGTTCACTTTTACTCATAATTAAAGAAATATAACTAAGACAAAAGTGGCAAATATTTTAAACTTTGATAATCCCCACTGTTACTGCTAATGTGGGGAAATAGGCAGCTTCATATGCTATTTGTGAATAGCATAGTCACAAATTTGTGGGAACACAAATGCTATTAGCTCTTTGGAAGGCAACTTGGCAATAACTATGAAAAAAAATTTTTTTTGAGACAGAGTCTCACTATGTCACCCTTGGTAGAGTGCCGTAGCATCATAACTCACAGCAACCTCAAACTCTTGGGGTCAAGCAATTCTCTTGCCTCAGCCTCCCAAGTAGCTGGGACCACAGGCACCTGCCACAATGCCTGGCTATTTTTTGTTGCAGTTATTGTTGTTTAGCTGGCCCTGGGCCGAGTTCGAATCCACCAAGTTCGGTGTATATGGATGGCACTGTAACCACTGTGCTACAGTCACCGAGCCTAACTATGGATTTCCACTAACCCAGGATTTCCACTTTCTGGTACGTAGTTATATAGGCACCTTTATGCAAAAGTACATCACAGAGATTTTGCAATAGCAAATAATCTCAATAGTGAATTGTCTAAAAGTTTTGTCCATTCATGAATTAGGATGCTGTACTGTCAAGAAAAATGTTCTCACGTACATTTCATTGACCTGCTTTCTCTATATGTGAGCAGCGTTATTTCTTATGTGCTATATATATAGTTGAAGGTTAATTAGCAGTATAACTATAAATAGAAATAAACAGACAATAAACTTCATAGAAAGTGGTTAAATGTATTAGATAAATAACAGGTCTTTATCTACAAAAGATGTGATCATTTAAGTTTTTTGTTTGCAGAAACTAGTATTTGAAAAGATATGTTTGAGGGATAGTATAATCCACGTGTGATGGTTCAGAGCAGACTTTGGAGTTGATAGCCTGGAATTCTAATTCCAGCTTCGGCAATGCTCTGTTAACACAGATTCTCTGAGCTTCACGGTTTTTTTCTTGAAATAAAATAGGGATGAATTATGCTTGCCACGACTGTCATGACAGTGCATATAAAAAGTGATAAATAAATAGTGGCTGTTATTAACCCTGTGTTTTCTATGTAAAAATCAAAAATTCAAGGCATGGCACCTATAGCTCAGTGGCTAGGGTGCTGGCCACATACACCAAAGCTGGCAGGTTCAAATCCAGCCCAGGGCCTGCCAAACAACAGTGATAACTATAACAACTAAAATAGCTAGGTGTTGTGGCGGGTGCCTATAGTCCCAGCTACTTGGGAGGATCACTTGAGCCCAAGAATTGGAGGTTGCTGTGAGCTGTGACACCATAGCACTCTACCCAGGGTGACATAGTGAGACTGTCTCAAAAAAAAAAAAAAAAAAATCTAGGCAGTCTCAATATTGTTATTAGTAAGGAATATAATTTTAACAAATATTAAATGAAAAATCACAGTGTAGGAATTATTTACTCAGATTTATCTGAGATTATGTTTTCTGCCATCAGATACAATGAAAGTTCAAAACAATCATTAAGGTGAACTGCGAGGGTAAGAAAGCTAAGTTCGATTTTTCTTGGTCATCTGAACTCTGGGACCCAAATAATTACATGTTCCACATTTGTGTTCTGCAAATCTTTTGGGAAGCAAGATATATTGAAGAGGGCAAAGCAAAAAAGCCTCTCTTATGGCTCGGCACCTATAGCTCAACCGGCTAAGGCGCCAGCCACGTACACCTAAGGTGGCGGGTTCGAATCCCCAGCCCGCACCCACCAAACAACAATGATGGCTGCAACCAAAAAATAGCCGGGTGTTGTGGCGGGCGCCTGTGGTCCCAGCTACTTGGGAGGCGGAGGCAGGAGACTCGCTTGAGCCCAGGAGTTGGAGGTTGCTGTGAGCTGTAATGCCACGGCACTCTACCCAGGGCGACAGCTTGAGGCTCTGTCTCAAAAAAAAAAAAAAAGCCTCTCTTATAACAGGGCCTGGCATAAAGTAGGTGCCCGCTAAATTATTTATCTTTATTAGTCATAATAATTTGAGCTAAAAGAGATGCAGACTAAACCAAGGAACTAACAGCAGGGAACAAAAGAGAAAAAGACATGTGGTGGCTCCTGAAGGACTTGGCGACTGAAAGTGTGGGACATGGCGAGCTAGAGTGAGAAATGGGGTAACTTATAGTATGTGTTGGAGGAGCTGGGGGATGATGGAGCCAGTCTCTGAGATGGGGACTCAGGAGAAGGAACTTGCAGGTGTCCTCAAACTACAGCCCACAGGCCACATGCGGCCCACCTAGGACATTTATCTGGCCCGCCAGGTATTTTTGCTGCCGCTGCCTGTCCTACTTCGCAGTCAACTCATCTCGGGGCCCGCAGTCCGGCCCTCCAACGGTCTAAGGGACAGTGAACTGGCCCCCTGTTTAAAAAGTTTGAGGACCCCTGACTTAGAGGAACAGATCAATCCAGTTTGGGACATTATAAACTTAAAGGGACCTCTAAATACCCAAATATGATCACTGAGTAATTGGATCTGTCCCTTCAGAACTCAGTGGGAGAGGACAGGGTAGCATTAGGGTAAGGTGGTGTGGTAGTTCAAGCTAGAGTTTGGAAGAATTTCCTTAGGGGAAGCCAACAATGGCATTAAGGGAAAGCAATGTTTACAGAGTGTTATGGATTGAATTGTGTCCCCCCAAATTTTATAGGTGGAAGTGCTAACCCCTAGCACCTCAGAATGTGGACTTATTTGGAAACAGACTCAATGCAAATGCAATTAGTGAAGATGAGGTCGGAGGAGGGTGGCTAATCCAGTAGGACCCAAATCCTTATAAGGGGAAAATGTGAACACAGGAACATGTACACAGGGAAAACACCGTGGGAGACGAAGGCATAGATCAGGGCCATGCTTTGATGGGCCAAGGAGCCCATCCTGCCAGCACCTTGCTTTCTGACTTCTGTTCTCCAGAATGGAGGCAATACATTTCTGTTGGTTAAGCCACATGGTTTGCAGTACTTTGTTATGGCAGCCCTAGGAAACAGACCCAGAAGGTAAACAGAGAATTAAAAGCCTAAAAAGAATACGAAGATGGCGATGTCCAAGACAAGAGGAAAGCCTACAAAGCATGGCTGTGCCTGGCCAAGAACTGGAGTTTCTTTTTTTTTTTTTTTTGAGACAGAGCCTCAAGCTGTCCCCCTGGGTAGAGTGCCGTGGCATCACAGTTCACAGCAACCTCCAACTCCTGGGCTCAAGCGAATCTCTTGCCTCTGCCTCCCAAGTAGCTGGGACCACAGGCGCCCGCCACAATGCCCAGCTGTTTTTGGTTGCAGCCATCATTGTTGTTTGGTGGGCCCAGGCTGGATTCAAACCCGCCACCTTAGGTGTATGTGGCTGGCGCCTTAGCCACTTGAGCCACAGGTGCCGAGCCAAGAACAGTAGTTTCAAAGGGAAATTGTCTTCCTCAAAATCAAACATGCTCAAGGTCAAGTAGGAGGACAGAAAATTTGACCCTGGAACCTGGCAATAGAGAGGTCATTCATGACCTTGGGAAGAGCAGTTACGATGGAGGGAAAGAGACAAGAGTCAGACTGAAAGGAAGAAGAAAAACGAATTTTCCAGAAGTTTGAGGAAGGAAAGAAGAGGATAGAAAGGAAGTTAACGAGGGATTATTGAGTCATGTATTTTTCTTTTAATGGGAGAGATTTGGTAAGCTATTTGAGGAGGACAACTAGCTAGTGGAAAGAGAAAGTTTGGAGGAAAACATTTGAAGGAAAAAATTTGAAGGAAAGAAAGAGGAAAAAAAGTGATAGAGACAGAGAGAGGTAAGAGAAAGAGAAAAGGGGGCATGGAGTAGAGATAGAAGAGAGGATGAGATGGGGGAGGAAAGAAGATGCCAAGGACCGCAGAGACGCCATTCTGGTGCTGGGCTGGCCACCAGTGCTAGGGACACCCACACCGTATTTCCAGGGAGTAGTGGCTATAAGGCCAGGAGCAGAGTCTAGGGTCTGCGACTGGGCATGGCTGTGGGGGAGACGATGGCAGTTTGAAACACAGTAAGGCATCTGGTGATCGATGACGGTGGTGGCATCCCCATCAGGCAGACTTTACGGCACAGTTTTGACCATGGCCCTGGGGGCTGTCCTTGTTCCCGTATCTGTTTTCTGAGCCACTTCTCCAACCTCACCGGAGATGCGGAGAGCTGCCCTTTGTCTTTTTGGTTCATTTTTTTTTACGATTTCAATCCACCTGAGTCAGTTTCTGTTGCTTACAGCTAAGAACTTTGATTCAGGCAGGCACAATGCTGAGCACTGAGTATTGTTGAGGATTTTCAATCCTCACAACAAATCTAAGAGGCAGACTTACGTTATCATCTCCATCTTCCCAAGGAGAGGACTGAGAGACAAAGGGCTTCAGTAACTTGCTTAGTGTTACAAAGTTAGTAGACAGCACAGCCAGGCTCAAACCCAGGCCTATTTACCTCCCAAGCATTTAACCACTGCACTGTGCTGTCCCTGACTTGTGCAAGCTCTGTCACCTCCAGTAAACGGCAACTGTGCACCGTGAGACTGCCTCCTGTGTCCCAGCACAGGGCAAACACAATTCTGACTGGGCTCTGAGGAACTTGTTTTGTGAGCCTGTTATACTATTTCTCTGAGCCCCTCAGAAACCTCAACATCAGTGTCCTGATCTACAAAATGACAGCCAAACCTTCACCTATCTCTTGGGCTATAATAGAGCATGAGCGTTTCAGAAATTCCTTCCAAAATAAGTTTGTAAAGCAAGGGTCCCCATCCAGTGGGCAAAGTTATATTTCTTAGAGCCTGGGCTGGAAGATCCAGATGTAGGCTTAGCTACCCAGTAGGTCTTCAAGTGGTTACCATGACCACATGTCCTCATTCCCACTGTGTCATTTCATGTCCTCCAGGGTGCCAAGGTGGAGATAGGAATGTGCAAGGGGAGGGAGATGCCTGAGGAAGGTAAAGGAGGAGGGAGGCAGTGGGACTGGGCAGTGAAAGCCTCAGATGGCCATACAGATCTGACAAAATCTCAGCCAATTCAACCCAGAGCATTAGAGCTAAGGTCACTCACTTGGGGAGTCCTGCATGAGACAGAGATAGTTAAGCTACCTGCACCATGCTGTCCTTGACCAGGGGCTGCCCAGAAAGAGCATAGCTTTAGCTCAAAATCTATGGTGGATCATAAAAGTGCTGCAGCCGGGCGTGGTGGTGGCAGCACTTGTTGTCCCAGCCCCTTGTGGGGCTGAGGCAAGACGATGCCTTGAGCCCAGGAGTTTGATACCACAGTGAGCTATGATCACACCACTGCTCAGGTGACATACTAAGACCCTGTCTCAAAACAAACAAGTAAAAAAGATGCCACAGCTAATTGCACTCCTCAGCTGAATGTCACATTCCTTCTTGAACTGCTGTGATGCTCCTCCGGAGCTGCTGCACCTAACACCCACCTTCTTTTCTCTCAGAATATCTGGGCTTTAAAGAACTGCACTAAGGAACCCCATTCTTCCACTGGGGTTTGTGTGCCGTGGCACCCACTCTGTCATGAGTCCACTTGATCTTATTGCACAAGTGAGCCAGGTCATCAGAGGTGGCTCAAGAAGCTGCTCCTCCATTATAATTACGTTAGAGGCCTCTATTATAAATATTCATTTATAATTCTAAGTCACCAGCACAACTCAACTCCTATGAACCTCTGAGACCTATCTCTTCTGCAGTTTTATGCCAACATCTAAGCAGGGGTCCTCAAACTTTTTAAACAGGGGGCCAGTTCACT